GAAGGTGGTCAATATCATGAAATGCTACAGAAAGGTAAAGTGAGATAGCAACAGAGAAAAGGATACTGGACATGGGAAAGAAGTGTTGGTTACTAGTAGCCTTGGAGGGATGAGATTCAACAAGGTTGTAGGGATAGAAGCCAAATTACAAGGAGTTCGGGAGTGAGTGGGTGATGAAACAGAGAAAGTAAAGGTATGCTATTCCTTTTTAGAAATTTGGAAATTTTAGAAATTTAGAAATTTAACAGTGAAGGAGAAAAATGATTTGATACTTAATTGGGTGGCCTAGTCAAGGAAAAGGATTCGTTTTAGAAAAGGGGAAAGTTAGATATATTTGTTATAGGCAAAGGAGGAGGAACTAGAAGAGAGGGAGAGTTTGGAGGTGAAAGACAAGCAGAAATGATGGACAGAACCTTCAGTATGCAGTATCAAGTAGGAAACTCAATTGCTATGTACAAAATTCAGTTAAGTTAACAAAGCCCTATGGTTTTCAGTGTTCTGGGTGAAAACTCAGAGGGAAAAAAAAGAGTGCCAGGAACAGAGATTAATCCACTTCGTGAATCATTTTTGCTTAAGGGTCTTTTTTAAGTTTAAGAGATTTGTTTAAGGAAACACAAAAACTGGATGCTATAAAATTTTTGATGAATATTTTAAAAATTAATTCATTTCCAAATAGTATCAGTGTAACAAAACAGTCTTCTAATACTAAGAAACTTTCCTTATCTTAAGTTCTCCTTAAGTCTAAGTAATTACTTAAAACAATCTTTGAAAAAATTATTTTAAAGTATTTAAATGGAACATAATTCCCACAAGAACCTGAAGAATTAAAGTCAACAGTCAATCAATAAGCATTTATTAAGCACTTACTATGTTCCAGGCATATAGTATTTGTTAAGTCCTTACTATGTGCCTGGTAATTTAATGTTACCTATTCTTTTGAACAGCAAATAAAAGAAGAGAGGCAGCTCCTTAAGAAGCATTAATATTTTTTTTGGGGGGGGAGAGTTTTGAATAGAGGTATCTTTTAAGTTGACACTTGTTAAGAATCCATTCTGAGGCTTTCTGCTATGATAAGAATATCTGAATACCAGCTGTCAGGTATGCTTTTTAGTCAATGGCTTCCTCACTTTAATTTGAACTAACACTGTCAATTGATCCTGCAGGGAATACTTAGAACTCTTGCCCTCTCAATACTGTATACCCCGGATAAAATGAAATATGCTTCGCATGATTGAGTTTTACCTTTATCTACACCAAAGTAGATTTCAGATAAAACAGCCTGGAAAATAGAACAGACAGTAAAATAGAAGCTCCTCATTTTTAGTCTTCTAAGTTTTTAAAAGTCTTATGCTATCTTCACTAACTGTATTTTAATGAACGCAGTTAATTTCAAGTTCAATTTATTCCTTCATAAAGAAAAAAAAAACTATAAGTAGAAAAGGGTAACAAAGGTAGTGGATAGTCTGAAAACTGTCATAAAAATAGTAATAGCAAGCTTTTAGATAACACCTTTCCAAATCCGTTTTGCTTTACAAGTATCTTATTTGATCATCACAACAACCCTTGGAGGTAGCTGTTCTTATTATCCTCATTTTACAAATGAAGAAACTGAGGCAGTCAGAGGTAAAATGACTTGCCCAGGGTCACATAGCAAGTGTCTAAGGTAGGATTTAAATTCTGACTCTCCTGATTCCAGATCCAGTGCTCTGTCCACTGTGACATTTGGCTGCTATAATGAGAACACATGAGGATTGGTTCAAGGATTTGTACTGGCTTATCCTGAGGAAGAGGATACACAGGAAGATATAACAGTAGTCTGCAGATATCCAATGAGTTGTGCTTTGGAAGACAGAGTCTAGGTATTCGGTGCGCCTCCCAGGAAAAGAATCAAGAGTAAATGGAACATAAATATGAACTTTCTAAGTAATCAGAGCTGCTAAAAATAGAATGTGTTTAAGCTAAAGCTGGATGATCATGTGTCAGAGATACCACAGAGAGAACTGCTACACTGGGTGGGATGTTAGAGTTAGAAACTTTAAAGTACTTCTTATGTCTAAAATTCTGTGACTCTAAGAAGCAACTGAGGTTGGTGGAGAGGATATGCCAACGAAAAACTAACTGAATATTATCTAAAAACGAGTGCTTATTCTTACTTTCACAAAGACTGAGAATTTCTTCTCTTATGAAAATTACTGTCCCATAGTTCAAATAATTCTAGAAACGCTAGCTATGGCAATAAGATGAAAGAGAGAAATTAAAGGCATAAATACTGAAAAGGAGAAAAAAAAGTTTCTATTTGTACATATGATGGCTTACTGAAAAAACCACAAGGAATCAGTAAAGAAAGTGAGGTGATTAATAACTTCAGTAAAATAGCAACATGCAAAATAAATTCATAAAAATCAGTGACATTTCTACATAGTATTAATGAAAAACCAGGAGAAAATGATAAAAAGAGAAACTCCATTCAAAATTACTACAAAGTTGGCTATTAATCTACCAAAAGACACTTTACATTTACATAAATACGAATATAAAACACTTTTTACCAAAATAAAAGGAAGACATATTTGGAGAGAGATTCATTGTATATGGCTAGAGTATACCAATAATAAATAACTATAATAATGACTATTTATAAAATGACTATACAACCAAAATAAAATAGCAAAGGTTTACTTTATAAATTAGACAAAATTCATTTGAAAGAACAAAAGTCTAGAAAATTCAAGGGCAAATATTAAAAAAAATCAGGAATAGAAGGGGCATAGAATTAATAGATCTCAAACTTTAATATAAAACAGTAATCCCCCAAACCATTTGGTATTGGTTTAAAAAAATGCAAAAGTAGATTAGTGAAGCAGACCAGATAAGCAAGACTGAGAAGAGAACAAACGTCTAGTGTTTGATGAATATATTCAACAAAAGCTGCTATAAAAACTAGAAGACAGTTTGGTTCAGGTCACCACTTATACCATATACCACAATAAGCTCCAAATGGATACAAAACCTAAATATAAAAGGTCAAACCTTTAAAAAAAATGTTGTGGACAACAAGAGATTCTTTTCATAGACATGGTAAGTGGGAGAACTGTTTTGGGGAGTGGGGTGGGGAGAGGGGAGCTTGGTCTCTCTATCTCATCCAGGGTGGAAATTCAGCAGTGACTCATGGACCCAGATCCACCACCAATCTGCTCAAAAGCTTTGACCTGCTCCACTCCCAATCTGGGTCAGTATTCCCCTCCCTAGGAAACCTGGTGGCCTCCCATTCCCAGAGGCTCACCATAATGGAACCAGACTCAGTTCAAACACCTAATAGGCTTTAGCCCTATAGCAGCTCAGAATTCCCAAGCTTAAAAATTTCACCAGCTTCTGAAAACCCAACAGTACTGTCAGCCCCAGTCTTAGGGGAATTCTTAACTAAACAAGGCATAGAGGTGATCATATAGAACAAAACAAACTGTCGATTACATGAAAGTTAAATGGCTTTTACACTAAAATTGATGTTGTCAGAAACTATCAAGTGGGGAAAAAAATCCTTTCCTTTAAATATCTACCATAAAAGTCTGATATATAAGATATACACAGAATTGATTCTGTATATGAGTCCAAGATCCATTCTCTAGTGGTTGGTCAAAAGGCTTTGAAAAAACAGCTCTCAAACTGTTTGAGAGAATACAAATAACCAACAACCATAAAAGACTGTCTTAAATAATAAAATGATATGCAAATTAAAGAAACTGAAGTCTTATCTGACACCTATCACATTGGCAAAAAGGAGAAAAAATGGAGACAGTCATTATAGGAAAAAGCAAAGACACTAACACATACTTTGTGGAGCTGTGAAATGGTCCAGAGTTACTCTGGAAAACAATTCAGAATTTTTTAAAAATGACTTAAGTGTTCATACCCTTTGGCCCAAGAATCCCACTACTGAACATATGTCTAAACTTAAGTCAATGATAGAAAGAAAGAAAGATGCTATAGAAAACAAAATAGAAACATTTATAGCAAAACCAAGCCTGAAAACAAAAAAAAAAAAGACTGAAAATAAAATGGGTGTTCATTGATTGGGCAATGGCTAACCAAATTCTTATATACAAATGCTGTGAAATATTATGCCAAAAAAATTTATGAACACAAGAAATATAAAGAAAAATGGAAAGACTTATATGAAGTGATAAGAGTAAAAAAAAGGAGAATCAAAATAATAATATATGCAATGACATAGTAATGTATATGATAAAAACTGGAAGAATTATAGTGAATAATTTTGGTTCTGAAAAACTGCTAAAGAAACATATCTTCCTCCTTTAAGTGGAGAGGCAGGGAACTCAAACATGAAACATGTTTATGTTGTCAGACGTAGTCATTGTGTTGGTTGGCTTTCCTAAAATGTTTTCCTTTCTCTTTGGTAAGGATTTGATGATTTTACTGGGGGTAAGCGGGGAGTGGAATGGGACAGGGAAAGGGAAGAGTGTTAAGGGGAAATTACTTTATTAAAAATAACATGGTTATAGTAAAAACAAAAGATAACACTAAAACTTGTAAAAATTAGCATCCCACTGTTACATATATTTGGTGCTTTTCAGGAAGCTAAATTCAGCATTATGTAAGAAATTTGCTGATTTATTATTAATACATTTATATTAATCAATTATCATATTATGCCACTAATGCTTTTCTTGGAACAACAATTTTAAAAAACAAACAAAAACAAACAAAGATAAAACAAAAGCAGTCAATTCTTAAAACAACAGTTAGCAGGCAGGAATCTTGATTTTTTTTTCTTCCAGGCACTAATCTGCCTGCCAGAAGCACTAATAAGCCGCCAAAGACAGTTCATCGTCTCTGTTACATAAAACATAAGACGAAACCTGGCTCCCTTATGCAGGAGGCTTCTCTATAAAAACGTGACAAAAATGTTCCAGATAAAAATGCCTTTTTTGAAGGAGACAAGAGTTACAAGCTGCATTTATTACAATCAACTTTGTACTTACCAGGGAGGGTAGATATGGATGATATCCTGTGGACCTCCCTTCAGGTGAACTGCAGTTTCCTTTGTGAACAGGACCTTGAGTTGGGTCCCAGGGTCCAGGACAGCATCTTTAGAAGGACTGTCAGCAGGAGACATCTCTAACAACTCACAGATGGCGATATGCATTGTGCATTCCTCATGCATCTCTATAATCTTTACAATCAAAACTCCAGATTTTTTGCCTACAAAATTAAAAGACAGAAACAAAAAATTTCAAAAAGATGCACTTATACAAAGAACTCCTCCATTTTTCTACCTCAAGAGAAAATAAGTGATAGATGGATTATAGGCAAAATATGGACAATATTCTTGTTAGCCACCAAAAATATATAAACAGGCCTATATGTTGCACACAAAAATGTGAAAATGTAAAAAAGTAAAAAAAAATTAATCCATTTATATAATACATATGAGTATATGTATATATGTATGTGTGTATATATATTCAAACTATGTGTGTATTTTTCCTATTCTCCAGGAAAACAATGGTGCATAACACTTTTTGGATGGAATTTTTTCCCCATCAGTTGGTTTATACATATATGTCACTGAAGTTTCATATTTTCTTCCTCCAAAATGGATTCTCTGTGTCACTTCCTATGAAAACTATTCAAACCTTCTCTTCTCAAATTTCCCACACTTCCCCCTCCCCATTCTCTCTAAGCTAAGGATGTCATCTCTTACTTTATGAAGAAAATTGAGGGCATGAACTTTCTTTTCTCCTGTTCTCCTCCTTTCAAAAGCCCTTGAAAACTTCCTTTCTCCTCCTTTTTTCCATACTCTGATGATAAGGTGGCCCCCCTCCTTGTTAAGGCTAACACTTCATCTACACTTGATCCTACATTCTCCCAACATCTTTAGTAGATTCCTCTGTAATCATTCCTCACTCCCTACCAGCCTCCCACTCTTCCCTCTCTAATCTTCACTCTCTCTATGAGCTGGTTTTTTCTTTTTGTCTTTAAATATGCTCAAGCCTCTCCATCCTAAAAAAAAAAACAAAAAAACAACCTGTTAGATTCTGCCATCCCCTTAAGCTGTCATCCTATATCTCTTTTCCTTTTCTTAGCCAAAATCCTAGAAAAAGTTGTCTATATCTGTTGTTTCTTCTTTTACTCCAACTTAATCCTCAACTCCTGGCAATCTAGCTTCTGACCTCATCGCTCAACTGAAAATGTTCTTTTCAAAGTTACCAATGATCTCTTAATTAACAAATCTGCCTTTTTTTTTGCAGCCATAATTCCTCATGACCTCTCTGGGCATTTTATATTGAAAATCATTTTCCTCTTAGACACTGACTTCTCTCTGAGTTTTCATGATAATATTCTCTTGATTTTTATCCTACCTGTCTAACTGTTCCTTCTCACTCTCTTTTGCTGGCTCATTAACCAAAACACATCCCCTAACTTCGAATGACTGCCAACGTTCTATCTTTGACCCTTTTTCCTTCCCCCTCTACAATCTTTTTCTTGGTAACCTCATTAGCTCCCATAGTTTTATCATCTCACAGACATTCTGTGTGTGTATAGGCCTATTCTCTCCCATGACCTTCAGTCACACTAACCACTGGACTGTTGGGAATTTCAAAGTGGATATTCCAAAGACATCTCAAATTCAACATGTTCAAAATAGAACTAATTACCTATCTGTCCCAAACCCATTTCTCTATAAGAACCTCTTTATTTCTGTCTAAGGTGGAGGTTCTTAATAATCTATTTGTATAATGGCCCTCTTTGTCAGTCTGGTAGCCTATGGACCTTTTCTCCAAATAATGCTTTTAATGCACAAAAGAAAATATATAGGATTACAAAGGAAACCAATTATATTGAAATACAGTCATCAAAATGTGTTTTAAAACAAGTTCATAAACTACCCTCCTTAGTTAAGAACCCCTGATCTTCTAGTCTCCCAGGTGTGTAACCTCAGAATTATTCTCAATCTCTCACTCTCTATCAACTCAAATATTCAGTCAGTAGCTGCAAAGTGAAATAACAATAAAAGGTAGAAAGCAATCAAATTTGGGAACATAATGATTAATCTGTGCTGGTAAATGCTATATATGTAGGAATGAGAACTAGAGGAAAAAAGTACCAAGAACCCTAGTAATTTCTGTTCATACAGATGGTACACATATAGTATAAAGTTCTTTTATTTTAAAGGTGAACATTAATTATTTCTCATCTCATGCTTTTTAGCCACCTTAGAGTTGAACAAATAAATGTCTGGAAACAAAACCCAGATTTGTATATGATGAATTAAATCAGCAATTCAATCCAGAAAGAAAGTTTTAAGATCTCCATTATTAGCCTTCCTACTTTCATATTAAGTGTGTATTGGTAATAATTCAAGATATTTCCTATTAATCATTGTCAAATGAGGTGTTATACACGATTTGTCATTTCTACTCACATTTTCAGAGTAACAGGAATAGTCAACAGAGTTGTAACTTGAAAACAGATAAATTGCTTTATAAATAGGCATTTGGACATTGAGTTAAACCAATTAAAAGTCAATAATAAATTATCTTACACAAAGATAAATTCCTCAGGAAAATCATCTATTCTGTAAAATTCTTCTATTATCTATAAGTCAATAATTTCTAATCTCTCTTCATTCTTAAATACTACTACCCTTCTAGCTAATACAAGATTTCAACATTCAGGACGTCTTTATTTTTATATTCTCAATCAGTTAACAAGCATTTTTTTATTTTTTCCTTAATAGTATTTTATTTTTTCCAATTACACGTAAACAAATTTTAACATTCACTTTAAAAAATTTTTGAGTTCTAAATTTTCTCTCTTCCTCCCTCCCCTCCCCCTTCCCTAAGATACTAAGCAATTTGATATAGGTTATGTATGTGCATATTTCCATATTACTCATTTGTGAAAGAAGAAAAAGAACCAAAGGAAAAAAAAACATGAAAAAAATAAAATTAAAATAGTATGATTCAATCTATATTCAGACTCCATCAGTTTTTTTTTTTCATCATGAGTTCTTTGGAATTGTCTTGAATCATTGTATTGTTGAGAATAGTTAAGCCATTCACAGGTGATCATCACACAATGTTGCTGTTACTATGTGTAAAATTCTCCTGATTCCACTCACTTCACTCCACATCAGCTCATGTAAGTCTTTCCAGGCTTTTTTGAAATCCATCTGCTCATCATTTCTTACAGCACAATAGTATTCCATTATATCTACACACCACAATTTATTCGGCCACTCCCCAGTTGATGGACATCCTCTCAGTTTCCAATTCTTTGCCACAACAAAAAAAGAGCTGCCATGAATATTTTTGTACTTGTAGGTCCTTTTCCCTTTTTTGTGATCTCTTTGCTGATCAAAGAATAGACACAGTTTGATTGTCCTGTGGACATAGTTCCAAATTGCGCTCCAATATGGCTGGATCAGGTTAACAAGCATTTATTAGGCATCTACTATGTGTCAGGATTATAATCTGATCTCTGGAGACACAAAGACATCAATGAAATTTCTTAAACTCAAAGAGCTTATCTTCTATTGGAAAAGACAACATGGACACTTACACACATATATAAAATAGATATGAACTAATGTATATAACATATATAATATGTATATCACATATAACATAATTATAACATATAACATATAACACACATAATAATATAATGTATATAACATGTATATAAAATAAATATGAAGTAATCTGGGAAGGGGGAGACATTAACATCTGAGGAAAGGAACCAGGAAAGGGCTTCATGTAGAAAGTGGTGGTTGAGCAGAACTTTGAGGGAAAGCAGGGGTTCTCAAAGGTGGAGGTTGGGAAAAAATGCATTCCAGGAATGGAGACAAGGGCATAGAAAAGGGAGAGGGGATGTCATGTGTGAGGGCCTATTTGGCTGGACTACAGACTGCAAGAAAGGGAGTAATATATTGTGACATTAGAAGTATGGGTTGGAGCCATGTTTGTAAAGGAGTCGAAAAGTCAAGGTTTAATATTTGATCCTAGAGAGCCACTGGAGTTTCCTGAGTTGGAGGAAGAGAGGGCTGACATGGTAAGTCATTTGCTACAGGAAAACAGTTGTGAGGGAAAATGAGAGGCTGGAAACAGGGAAACCAGATAGAAGACAGTTGCAGCAACCCAGGATAGCTTAAGAGGCCCTCCACCAGGATAGAAGCCGAGTGAGTGGAAAAAAGGAACCGCTCTTAGAGAAGCTGTGACAAGATTGATAACAGGCTGCTTCCTCCAAAAGCTCTCTCTAATGAGTTGAGCACTTTGCAAACCTCGAAGTGCTATATAAATATATCATTATTATTCTTATTACTATTATTTATTACGATAGTCTCCCTAACTTTAACACAAATTCGGTTAATTGTACATCAAGTACTTGTATGTGTAGACTACAAGCAAAAAAAGCAATTAGTTATATTTTTCATTGCCAGCCAGGATGCTTTCAGGTTTCTTTACTCCTTTTCTCAACTGTAGTTAGCATTTGTTCAGGAAATGCAAATTAATTTTAATATGAACATATGAAAACTATGATCAGAAAGGTAAATCTGCTGTAAGAGAAAAGAAAAGCCAATAGTGCACACAAAACATTCAAACACTGATGATGATGATGATGATGATGATGATGATGGAGACAATAATAAATAAGCGGCATTTATGTAATACCTACTCTATGCAAAGCACTACACTAAGCACTTTAAAAATATATTATTTCATTTGATTCTCACAATAGTTCTGAGAGTGAAGGGCTATTATTATCCCCACTTTACAGATGAGGATACTAAGGCAGACAGAGGTAAAGTGTCTTGCCTAAGGTCATATTGATAGTCAAAGTCTGAGGCTGAATTTGAACTCAGATCTTCCTGACTCTAGGTCCTGCATTCTATCTACTTTGCCACCTAGCTGCCTTTGAGGATTATTAATTATCCACTGAGGATAATTAATAATCATTCATTGTTTAGGATTTTCTACACCATTATTGCCTTCACTAACAAGGACAACTGAAAGTTAATTATCATAATATTTAGAATTAAAAAGGAAATTGGAGACCATTGAATCCAACTCCCTTATTGTAGAAATGAAGAGAATAAGGCCTAGACAGGTTAAGCAATTTGTCCAAATTTCACATATAAAAGAGAAGAGATGGGATTTACACTAAGCTCTTTCAACTCTAATTCCTGTGCTTGTTTC